AGTTATAATGGGTGAACGGTTGGTCATGATGGAAGTACCTTGAAGTATTTTACTTCGTCAATACATGAAGTGGTGTTTGAGACGGGCACTATTCACACGAGTAATTTAGCTAACAATGATAACAGTAACACTGGTTACTCACCTCAATGCTTTGTCAACTAAAAAACTCGCAGCGAGAAGTCAATCACGTGACAAAGAAGAAACCATTGTTAATGTAGGGGTGGACATCTTACAACATTGCATTCAGAGGAATTCACACTACACGAATAATCATAATACTATGATTCGAGAATGCAAAAACATGTATTTACGATGAAAACATGCAAAAGATCGAGCAAAGAATCACACAGTGACCTAAATAAAGGCTCACTGTGCACGCGAATCGTAATGGCGTGGTGTCAATCGCTGTCTTACGGAAACGATTAACATAACGCGATAGGTGTTGATAGGAGTGATTTCATACTATTCAATCGCATGATTTGAAAAATTCAATAATGGTAATTTTAGACTATTTGGGGTGTCAATGAAATACGAGTAAATTCGTTTATAAAAGTTTATGTATTTACGAAAACTTATACGTACAAGAGGTCCAGCTAGAATAATAAAATGACCTAAATGCGGATTCTTTGTGCACGCGAATCGTAATGGCGTTATGTCAATCGCTGTCTTAAGGAAACGATTGACATAACGCGATAGATGTTGATAGAAGTGATTTCATACGATTAAATCGCATGATTTGAAAAATTCAATAATAGTAATTTTCGGCTATTTATGGTGTCAATGAAATACGAGTAAACTCTGTCGTTTATAAAAGTTTATGTATCTACGAAAACTTATACGTACAAGAGGTCCAGCTAGAATAATAAAATGACCTAAATGCGGATTCTTTGTGCACGCGAATCGTAATGGCGTGGTGTCAATCGCTGTCTTACGGAAACGATTGACTTAATGCGATAGGTGTTGATAGGAGTGATTTCAAACAATCGATTCGCATGATTTGAAAATACAAAATAATGGTCATTTTACGCTTATCAATTCACCAAAGAAACGCAAAAACGTTTGATTATCAAAGTATATATAATTGCAATTAACTGTACATGGCTGAATCCCACCCACAAACCGTACATTGACCCAACAGATCAAAGGGTTAGTGGATTACATCGCGCCGACCAGTGTCTATTATGTGGTGTCATCCCCTTCGCAATACAATCGATTGACATAGAGTGGTATGGTAGCATATGATTGGTGTCATGCCTTCCCATAGCATGACACCATAAGACATGACCTCGTTTCAAAGGTATGGATCGAACAGGATCGGGTGAAAAAACAACAAATACGCTTTCACTTATGTATTTATAAATTAGTATAAATTACCATTAGAGTATGGGAGTTGATCATGTGATATCACTTATTCATACAGCTTGCTAATACTCTTGATACCATGGGCAAGGATATCACTTACATTTCGTTGTTTAGTTATACGTTGTACGATTATAATACTAGGATGCCACGAGGTCGAGTAGATGGCCAAAATAAAACCTCGTCGACCCTATTTATACTAATAAAATTACAGTGAAATTTAAAAAAAAGAACTATTAATTGCTAATTTCAACGTGACTTCAATAGATTGTTTGCGTTCGGGCTGCCCAAATCGATCGTCCGAGAATCCCATACATTTTGAGGGGTGTCAAAACAAAAATCTTTCACACACTAACGATCACGATTTCCAGAAGTTTCATTAGATAAGCGATACATTACTCATACTCCTTCATTTGTTTCAATCTATTTTATCGCAGTATCAATTGGCCTGCTTCAAACCACAGAGATAGAATTTGCTCAAGTCAAACCCGAATTGTACACGTGTACATGCAGTTTATTCGGCTGAGGTAGAACAATAGTTCAACCACCCCTAGTCTACCCATCATAATTCCAAAATATACGTATGTACTACAGTTCTGAGAATACTAGATAGAGCATCTGGATATTAAAAGCAAAAGTCCGATGTAAATGTATATATATGGTGATTAAAGATTAAACTGTGGTTGTATATTTCATCTAATACAAACGAATATTTACTATCTACCTTGACTGAACCATGAAAATCATTGACTCCGTTTTAATACAATTGACATTGTTATACATCGTTGTGTGTATAGTACTAGTTGTATGCGCACCATTACATGTCGCCTACGTATCACTCTGGCAGCTAGACATACCCAAATATGTGTTATGGTTTTCCCGATTGTGTTATTGAGAGTCATTTCTTTTTACCTTAATCCCGAATATTTGACGATTTCAATGGGACGTAGAGTCTTGGCTTGATTGTGGTATGTACGAGTAGGGCGCTGCAAGTAACAAGGTGTGTTGTGGGATTACTTGCCTTTTCAAGAACGTCTAAACAATTGGTGGAATTCAGAGGTCTTACCGCTGCGTCTTCCGATACTTACATATTATTGTGAGCTATTTATTTTTATCTGACTTCCGAGAATTTGATGATTTTATTAGACCTAGATCGAGATTATTGACATAGTTTTGGTCGGTACGAATAAGGCGCTGCAAATATAAGCAAGATGTGTTATGGTTTTACTTGCCCTTTCAAGGACGTCTGCACAATTGGTGGAGATCATAGGTCACATCGTCGTTCGATACTTACAGCGTGCTGGATTCGTTGCCTTCTACTAGCTTGTTATGTTGTGTAATGTGTAAAGACTGTGCATAATATAATTTTTAGAGAAAGGTAAGTAGTAATATACATGATAGACTCACTCATTATATTGGATTTTCGCAATCTATTACTTTGTTGAAAAGGGCATGAACCAGGAAGACTGACGCCAACCAATATAAAGTCGTTTGACGTTGAGTGTTGTGACATGGTAGTCACTTAATTGAAAACACATATTATTGTGTTGGTTTAATTTGTGCTACAATGTGCAAATAAGTGTAATGGGAGATGATGGCTATGAGACGCCGTTCATAGAGTAAATGCGATGAATTCCATGTTTACACAATCGCATAATTCCTGAAATTTGATGTCGTGGAAAATATTACTATTCAGTTGTATTCGTTTGTTCGTGACAGACGCATTATTTTTTAGTATACTTACGGTGTGAATGCATACATGTGCATGTTGTTGAACAAATTATGTGATACTGGCCAACATAATTCGGAGTACAACAGCAACATTAACATTGTCTTACCGGGAAATTAATTTAGGCAAGATTAATGTGTCAACTAATTTTAAAATCGTCGATCATGTCTGGAATTAAGCATGCGTTTGTGAGCGATAATGACATCACTTGTTATGTCGACTATGAACACTATTCACATTGTGTAGACTACCTAATTTAATTGATATATATTTTGATATATTTTCACACAGACACGGAAGATATAAAATGGATTCATCTTCAACGGAGTTAGATCCACTTGCTGAATTTATTGAAGATATTGGAGGGAATATAAGGGGTGGTAAGACTTTGTTTTGATATTCATACACTATATAACAACTCATTGTGTCATGGGACAACACTTTCATTCAACACTTCTTCCATGTGTTAAGTAATATTATTGTTGGTTATTTGTAGCCCAGTTGACCTGACCACATTGATATTAAATTATATTAAATCATTGTCGCCGGTATATCACATGCATATCAAATCAAATCAAACTAGATAATATAAAACAGAACATAAAATATATTACGATCTGACACAGTCAGATAATGTAACTAATTCCCCAAAACATTATTCAATTTACTGTTACAAAAAATACAAACGTTCGTTAGTAATGTAATAATGTAACGATATAATTCACTGTGAATTAGAAACCATAATGAAAGTCACACTTGACACAAAATGTTCAATTAATTAAATGATTTACGACTCCTAGTAAACAAACACTTCTATAGATCGGGTATTGTAAAACAGTAACGAATCAACTAAAAGCTGAAACAAACCCAGACTCTACACTGTCTATTTAATAAATCTTGAACAATTATTATAATACTTTGTGAATACTAAGTGAATATAAACAAATAAATCACCGAATATCACCTTTTTTCTTATCTTCTACTTAACGGAAAAATGATGGACGTGCGTATACCGGAATAAAAGTTAGTATTCACTAATATTGCTTCTTTTTTTACTTTACTTACAGATGAGCTAGATCAGATGAAAAGATTGTCAGTTCCATTATTATCACAAAATAAAATTGAAAAATGCAATTCAGCAGCCGGATTGTTAACAGCACTTGCTGAAAATGGAAAAATATCTACAAATAATATGGATAATCTTATCAGTATGTTGCAACTGGCTAAACGACAAGATCTTGTTGAGGAGGTTGAACGTTTCGTGGGAGAACGCAACAAAAACGGTAAATCACATTTACCCAATTCCAGTAAGCACAGTTTATATGTATCATGCTATCATGCATCCGAAATATTAACTAAAAGCAAAGTGAAGCAAATTAATGTACATTAGTGGTGTCTTTGGTTAAAAATAAATTCATACCAAAAATCAAAACAATATTCTCGGGGCGAACAAGTATATGCAGTTCATCCAAGGCAAATTATGTTCCATTTTGAATGTAAAATACCAAAGATTGAAATTTCGCAAATGTGACCCCAATCATATGGTCCCTAATACAAACATACAATTTAAAACATATCACAGACACAATCACTTTGTGTACACTTTCTGTATTATAGATGAAGGTGCGCTCGTTCATAAATATACCGGGTTGAATGTCATTTCCAAATAATTTACAATGACGCCTTTCGTTTTTTTTGTTTTTTTTTTGCAGAAAAGCAGAGACGAATATCGACGATATCATCGAACACTAAATCTCAGAAAGGTAGAAGTTGCTGTAAGTGATTATCGGACTTGTTTTGTGAAATATTTGTTATTCGGAAAGTTGGATTATAATAGGTTGGACACCATCGGCCACAAACTTAGAAACAAACTTTAAATTAGACTGCAACTATTGAGCACAAGGGGCAATTGTTTATGTATACAAAACCTGAGTGTTTTATGAGTTGAACACATAAGATATCCAAAACATCAACAATTATTACTAGGTTACTAGGTGCATAGCTAGCTGTCTCTCACTCACTCACTCACTCACTAACTCACTAACTCACTAACTCACTACATTACAGTTAACTGGCAATATTTAATTATGGTAACATGCATGCCTATGTATTTTATTAGATTTTAGGCTTGACATGAATATTAAAAAAAATATGTTGGCGAAATACCACGACCTACTTGTAAAAGCTTTCGAGAATCAAATGAAAATCATCATGAAAGGTGGTAACCACAAAAAGCTATCACAGATTCGGCAAGTAATATTCGAGCTTCAGCAACAGATAGAAAAAATTGAAGAGGGCAGCATAATTCTGATTGTCAGATGTTTCTCAGTGGGTGGCGTAATATCACTGACACATGCACTAGTATTCGGCGAATTGGAAGAGAAGATGACACAACTATTGATAACAGATGAGATGAAAGCAATACTGGCGAAAGAGGATGTTGATCAAAATATACGTATATCAGTGACTATGGATCTCAGGCATCTTAAGTGGGCAAAGACATTTTTTGAAGGTAAAGAGTGCTTTGTCTACATATAATATTTCTGCCTGTATATTCCCAAAGTTAAATTGTTATCAATTGATGATATGACAGAACGCCATGCCCTCGTTCTGGCAATTGTAAGATATAGAAGTTATTTTCACTAGTATTTTTTTCCAATGATTGGTTAATCTGGCATTTTAATTCATTCATATGCAAATTTTTGCAGACGCACAATTTTAATTGATATGTTTGCCACAAAGTAATGATGAATCACAGAGAACAAAATTTACGATTTGTTTTTTTCAAAATCAATATTGATACAATGCAAATTTTGAATATTTCTTGAGATATATGTTCATGTGTATGTTAGTATCGATATCAAATAACGAATAACACCTCCATCCCGACCAAACTCTGCATGCAGAGGGTAAATGTCATTGTCAAAAAATATTTAAATAGTTTGATTTGCTTTGGTTTTCGATGCTTCAAAGGTCGATGATTTGTTTTTAATTTGCTAATCACTATAGAAACGATAGTTTTATTGGTTGCTCAATTTCTGAAGAAAACAAACACATGTTGCAGCTTTAACAATGGCAATCACATCGGTTTTGACATTGTTACTAGTATGCTGTACTATGGAGTCAGCTCAGTTGCATAACCGTGACTATTTTGCACAGTAATTCCATGGCTCTTGGTAATCTTGTTTGTTTGTGAAGAGAATGACTCTGGAATTTTTATTATTCAAAAATTCACAACCATAATATTAAACAAGATAAACAAAGTTGAAATGCACCGTGGTAATTCAAGTTGTGATTAAACTGCCAAGATAAATCATCTGCATATGTTTGCAATCAATACCAAATTTATTGAGCAAGATTATAACTATAAATGCCCCAGTACATATGTAACATTTATAAAATTGTAATAAATTGGTTGTACTTTTAGATACAGATTCATTATTATCCCCAAATTATGCATAATCCATCAAATAACTTTTAAAACATGTTCAAAATAAGCAGATTCATTCTCTTCAAAATAAATATAGGTTTATGTAAAATGTATGCTTTGCTGTATCATACATTATACCCGCTACCTTATCACCAATTTGTTGACATATATATTTGAACAAAATATGTATGTATTAACAATGTCGCTGTCCTCTGATTACTTTGGTAGGTTTGGAGGCTGAACGGGTTTGTCATGCTGATACCAGAACGCGCATCCGGAAAGGACAAATGTATGAATGTTTAGACTTGGAGGTGCAGGACAGACGTTCAACGGATACATATATACAATTAAACGCAAGTATCGGTATTTGTTTTCTGTGACGTTGAATATTGGTGTCGGAAAATCACAAATTCAATAATTCCGTGAAAAATATTGAAAAAAAATCCTCGAGCAAATATTCATAGTAATTGATTCAAATATAGCAACTCCTAAATATAAAGATGCTTATATGTTCTGTAACTAACTATTAAAGAGGAGAATTATAAATTTAATACATCCTCCTTATTGTTGTGTTGATACATAATTAATTGATTGTTTTTTGAATGAATGAATCCGATTCTATAGCCATATCTCTAACGTGCTTTGACTGATTATGTTCGAATTTTATATATTCATTATACATCATGTCATAGATATGCAGTTGTATTGTTTTGACGATCCGAATCAAAATGGTCGACGATCAGATACGAAATGACTGAATGCCATTTATTATTTAAAAAAATCATCAGCTATATTACTATAAACAAAACTATACATCTTAAATTTGATAACTAACGGGGACTGTGCCATGCATGGCTCGTTTTATAATGAATGTGGTGTACATTATAAACTGTAAATGTTCTCATAAGCTACTCTTCTTGCGTCGTAGTCCAAACCTCGTGAAATGCCAACTGAAGCAGACAGGAAAATAGAAGAACTTCAAGAAAAGATTGAAATGAAGAACGAATTGATTAATCGGTTGACTACGAACGTGTATCTAATAAGAAATACCATCAACCGCCTTCTACACGAATATGACGATTTTGATCCGAAAACACAGATACAAGTGCTGAAATTAATAGCAACAATTTCCAATTTTCCAGTAGTCGGTGAGTATGAAGTTGAACTTGGCCTATAATTGATACACGGAATCGGTCATAATAAAAATGAATTTTCTTAAATTTTCTTAAATCAGCCCTATCTATACTACAACTAACAATATGCACATTTGACTTTCATACTGTTTATATATTACAATTTATATATTATAATGTGTATTCCTTCTGTTTATGTAAATCCACTGCTGAACACAAGAAAACACTGTCAGTGAGATTGGGATTTATCATTATTTGGGATTTATCATTATTCCATAATTACTATTATTATACATCTGTCACCGTAACGCCATTACAGTGGTATTTTTAGGGTATTTTCATCTTGCCATATTAGGAAATTCGAAATATGGAATCATTACGCGCTTAAGCGTTCTCTTATAATAAAAAACAAACATGGACCCACAGAAAGAAGTTCGATGATTCTGTTCTAATCATTTTGGATTTCGGCATTCCCATTATGTATCCTTGGAAGGAAAAGATGTATAATAATAAGGTTATTACGAGAATACCTCAAAGTATACACTCAGACAGTACGTCGCACGTCGATACTCCAGCTGTATTGTCTTCGTGCATACTTTGAGGTATCTTCGTAATAACCTCATATTATCAGTATAAATTTGACCAAATGATGTAAATATTGAAATTAAACGTGCAGAGATAGGCTGTTGATAACAAACAAAAGGATCAGCATATATGTGAATTAAAGCGGGGGAGTCAGCCCCTGCGCATGCGGCAAACGGCCATAGCGTATCATTGTTTATAAACAAGCGTCTACCTATGAGTCTTTGCGTTCTAGCATGCGTTGTTGTCGTCGATTAATCGAATCGTTGATTCAATTTCCGCGCATGCGTAGGTGACGACCCCTCCGCTTTAACCATAAAATTCGTACCTGACTACTCTCTGTCTTCATGATTAGGTAAAGACACAGCCGAAAAAAAGGAAATTTTACACGGTGAGTAAACGATTTCATGCAATAATCTAACCATTTCAGGTATATATGCTGGACGTCATGCCACTATTGCATATATCTAGTATAATTTGTGTTCAGTTACATTAGATAAATCTTAGATTCTATTTTCTACATTTAGGTAAAGGCACTGATGAAACACAAGGGAAAATAAGCGGTGAGTAAACCATTTTTTTAAAGTAGTAAAACTAGTCATTAAGGCATTAAGGCAAAAGAGGAAACACTTGATGAAAACAAGTCATGCTCTATTTTAAAATGTCTGTTATCGACTCGAGATTGATTTGCAATAACATTGGAAGTTTATCCACTGTACCACTAAACTTATGTCTGCTAATCTTTTCGTTATTGACAAGTGTACTACAATGTTGTTGTTCTCATTCACGCAATACATTATTGAAATCAATGAATATAATTTCAAATTCGTTCTCCAGAATCTAGCATTAAAATCAATACCTGCGATTGTTTTCCAATAATTTATCGGTTTTCCTTTCATGCGTTATACCAAACTTGGCAGTGTGTTAACTGTGCATCAGTGTGCTTGTAGACACTGTGTTTTGTATATACTGTATTTACACATGTGGCTCAAATATATCAAATATGCAATAACTGGAGTTGACTAGACTATAGTTATTTTTCTTCTCTTGAAAACAGGGTTGTCAAAATGTTTGTACAAATGTGTATTGATAAAATAACTTTAAGTTAAAAAATATTGTGATAGGCATTGTGATTAGATACAATTTAATGTGAACTTGTGTGTATTTAATATAGATGATAACGAAGATGGAGAATATAAGGAGTATGGTGAATTATCAGATCAAAGTAGCTATGACACCAGTAAAGGTAAATTTTATGTTTTGAAATTAATAATTGATATTGTCAAAATTGGTCTGTTCAAACCTTTTCAAACTGGCAACTTATTGTGTGGTGATGTGCAATACGGTTAATGTGGATAACAAACAAAAATGTCAGCATATATGTAAATTAAAGCGGGGAGTCACGCGCGGCAAACGGCAATAGCGTGTCGTTATTTACAAACAAGCGTCTACTCATGAGCCTTCGCTATTTTAGCATGCGTTATCGTCGCATGCGCAGATGACAAACCCTCCGATTTAACCAATACAATTCGTACCTGACGACCGAAAAAAAGGAAATGTTACACATTGAGTAAACGATTTCTTGCAATTTTCTAACCATTTCAGGTAAATATTCTGGACGTCATGCGGCGATTGCGTATATCTAGTATAATTTGTGTTGGTTACATTAGATAAATCTTGGATTCTAATTTCTACATTTAGGTAAAGGCACTGATGAAATACAAGGAAAAATAAGCGGTGAGTAAACTTTTTGGCATTTTTTTTTAAAGTAGTAAAACTAGTCTTGAGAGTGCTTTGTTTATACAGCACTCAACAAGAAGTATTTTTTTTATGTAGGTAAAGACATTAAGGCAAAAGAGGAAACACTTGGTGGTGAGCAAAAATTGTCTTGCAATTGCTGTAGTCGTTTATTTATGCTAGAATTTATAATTGATATTGTCAAAATTGATCTGACCAGATTTTTTCAAACTGGCAACTTATTGTGTGGTGATGTGCTATACGATTTATGTGAGTGTGTGTATGTATCTGTACATATGCATCTATGTATGATAAATTAACTTACTGTATTACCTGACTATTTTCTCGGTGTAGATATGGACACCGCTGAAAAAGAGGAAACATCAAGTGGTGAGTGAGTGTATTTTCTACCACAGTATATTACTTCAGGCAAAGGACTTAGTATACCATAAGGCTGTTATATTTCATTCTCTGTTTTAAAATGTCTGATATCGACTCGAGATTGATGTGCAATAACATTGGAAGTTCATCCACTGTGCCACTAAACTTATGTGTGCTAATCTTTTCGTTATTGACAAGTGTACTACAATGTTGTTGTTCTCATTCACGCAATACATTCCTGAAATCAATGAATATAATTTCAAATTCGTTCTCCAGAATCTAGAATTAAAATCAATACCTGCGATTGTTTTCCAATAATTTATCGGTTTTTCTTTCATGCGTTATACCAAACTTGGCAGTGTGTTAACTGTGCATAAGTGTACTTGTAGACACTGTGTTTTGTATATACTGTATTTACACATGTGGCTCAAATTTATGAAATATGCAATAACTGGAGTTGACTAGACTATAGTAATTTTCTTCACTTGAAAACAGGGTTGTCAAAATGTTTGTACAAATGTGTATTGATAAAATTGGTACATAGTTTAATAACTTTAATGTCACACGCAACGTAATATTACCGTAATTGGTATACTACAGGTGTGATGGTTCAAATACCAAAATGGCAACAGTAACAAAATGATAAAATACGAACACGGAGCCAACAGATGAGGTTTCAACTGGTACTGGTATTATTATACTCTGCAAACATCAAGTACAATAACGCGGTAAAACTCCACTACTCCAATAACTAGATACTTAAACTCCAATACAATTCAACGAGATCTCCGATCTGAACTCAGTGCTGAACAACCCTATATATACCTCCACTGTCTATAAATATACCATTACATCAGCATACATAATGAGTCTGGCACTTACTACAAATTTCTAGAATGTTCCGTTACCTTCTAGTGCCTCCTACAGTGTTATATTACCTATTTAACCAGTTTCTAAAAAAATCTAGAATATTCCACCCAGAACCAGTACGGTTCTAGAAAATTCTCAGTGACGCGGAAGTGGTAAATAAGTCGTATGCGACATTTAAGTTGAAAAAATAATGCATTTTGATTAGATACAATTTAATATGAACTTTTGTGTATTTAATATAGAAGATAATGAAGATGAAGAATATAAGGAATATGGTGAATTTTCAGATCAAAGTAGCTCTGACACCAGAAAAGGTAAATTTTATGTTTTGAAGATGGGGGTGACTGAAACCTTTGTTGACACAGGCGTTGTTTAATGTTATGCAACTGACTCTTTGGAATTCTAATGATACGTTGTTCAAATAAGTAGTCTGAACTTTGTTCTTTCAAATCGGAATGACCACCAAGATTAGGACTTGAAGCTAAGTAGTCAATAAGTTCATTTATACACCTTTTGCATTGGGGATATTTATCAGACTAAATGAATATTTGAACTTGTTTGTATTCGTCGGATAGTATTGTTTTATTCATGCAAGGGTATTCAAGATACCAAGGCTCAAATATACATTCATTTGTACCCTACAAAATATCTAAAATAAAATGTTTAGCATTTCTCCATGCCTAGTCAATACGAATTAATTAAATGTCCAAAGAGTATTTTACCGATGTTACTAGATCTGATTGAAAAATAGAACGGATAATGGTTGAGTGATGATAATGAAAACATGAATAGTGTCAGATGAATGAAGTGTATCAATTGCAAATCGCTTAGTGTTCGATTAAATATCGCTCCAACCAGCAGATAGTATCAGTGAAGCAAACTGGGATACAATGGAGAAAAAAATATCCCAAATGTACTAAGCATTCAAGCTTTCGTGGCTCTCGTTTACAGGCAAGGATAGCCCACGAATGTACAAAGTAATTGATAATTTGTGTGTCAAATATATGGACTTCATTAATCCATCGTACCTACTTCGTGTAATGTTGTTAATATACAAACTTGACATTTAAATAATTAATTTCTGCTTTTTGCAACCAATACCATGTCGTTACTATGCCACATGAAAGATTAAATGCTTAGTACATTTGGTAGCCGCATGGCTAGTGTTACCCTGTATCCCATTAAGCTCCGTTGCCAGCAGAGTCGATTGGCTGGTGAAATGGCGTTCTTCAGTTAAAATTCCACACTAGGCGACTTGCAAATTGTCATATGTAGTTTTGATCTTATTGGTGCTATTGAGTAATATTTGTTTATATACATTAGTCAATATTTTTTCATCATGATTACAGGTACAAAACCTAAAGCTAAAAGCTCTGTCTCACTGGTGAAGCAAAAGATGCCAAAAAAAGGTTAGTATATTGTTGCTATAGAGAGGATGTTCTCCCAGAGGGTTATCGTCATACCAATTACACTTTGCGAGGCATTGAGTTGAGATGAAGTTACGAATTGTATGATGCTTCACGATCTGTTTACAAATATGTATACAACAGTAGGAACAACAACAGAACTAGCGTCCATTCGATTTTTCCCTTATATGGGGTAAACATTTTCACCAACATTGACATCCAGGGTTATTGACATCACATGCGAACACTTTTTTTTTAATAAATTGAATGCTATAACGCGCGACGGAAATAAAATACCGTTGCGAAACGCAACTGTTAGTTTTTCGTTTTCTTTCCGTTTTATCTGATTACTTTTTTGTAATGATTTTTTTTTTGTTTTTTTTTGGGGGGGGTGACAGCACATAGTTTTAGCCATCATTTTGGTGGTTGTAGATTCAACCCTGTTTATTTTTAGTGATTTGCTTATCCTGATAACAACTTTGAAGATCCTTTAGGTGACGATTTTGTAGCCGAATGTCTAGCAAGATTGCCAGACTACAATGCAATTAGACTATCCTCTGGTTCTATTGATGGAGATGATTGGATGAGTGCTATAGTGGCCTATCTATTGATAGAATGTGTACAACTTGTGGAAGATTTCATACAAAATATCCTTTACCCACTAAAATCGAAGAATACATGGCGAGCCGAGAGTCAGTGATACCTGCATACAAATAGTATTTATGTCCAAAATCGATTCAAAATAACATCCAGCCAAATGGCATCAGTCTG